GTATCTACATATTCCTCATTTATTTATTTATTATGTTTTTTTTTTTCATTCATGTCTTTCATTTTCTGCACCGCAGCATATGAAAGCAATAAACTCACTCATATGCACGAGCACATACCAGTGTGTGCAATCACATGAATTCATCAGCCCACGCTAAACACACACACACACACACACACACACACACACACACACACACACACACATGCAGACCTATAAGTGTGTGAAGTATAATTACTTGGCAGTTCGCTGTTGGACCAATGGTGTACATTTGCTCTAAGGAAGCAGGTGAGAGAGTTTTTCCTTTTAAAGTCCTAAGGTTTTAAAAATGTAGAATTCTGAGGAAATTAATAACGTAACTAAAAAAAAAATAGATCCAAAAGTTGTGAATTTGCTGGTGGGGTGATGAGAATGTGTGAAATAGTGTGACATATTCAGCACAACAGCTCTGTTTAGATTGTAAAACTCTACCAGGTGCTCTCAGGTAGGTCATGGGTTTCATGCTAAACATAAATATATGTATCAAATTGTGCAAAACAAACTCAAAACTATGTCAAACACACACTGAATGAATTGCTTTCCCCCCCTGTCTTGTGCTCTCCAGCATATTCGACTTTTATTGTCAGATGTTTGTGTATTGGAAATATATAAACACAGGTCAATGCAGTTTTCTGAAAAGGACTGGCCAAATAGGACAATAAATGCCCATAGGAAAATAAATAAATGAATGAATAAATAATAATAATAATAATTTGGTTTATTATTTTAGTCCTTTTTATTCGTTTTATTGTCTATCGTATGTCCTAAATGGAAGAAAAAAAGAAAAGAAAATCTTGATAAATGTGTATGTGTGTGTGTGATTATCTACATATGCTTCAGCACTCAGCCATATAAATGACTTACAGTCACGTATATGTGTGTGTGTGTGTGTGTCAAGCAAATAAATAATGTATTAATTAGATGGTTGGAAAAAATGATTCGCCACAAGTGCTGGTGTGATTTATGACACGTCAGAATCATTTTAACTTTTCTCCCTTTTTTTTTTCTTCTTTGGCGACAGGACAAGTTGTGCCACAGATAGAGAGGCGTGAGAGTGAGAACGCTTTTCCCAAACAGACGTAAAATGCACAATTGGAGCTCTCACAAGCTTCCCTAAATGTCTGCTTACACAAGTTTGTCAGGGTTTCTTGTAAATGAAAAGCGCTGTGAAGCTCTAGTGATTAGCGTGTCACGCTGACAGTGCTCGAAAGTATCCGAAAACAGAGGCACTATGGAGGAGAACTGTAAAAATAAATACGAGCAGGCCGTGCTTGATGAAAGCGCAGCCACCTGTGCGCTGATTCAACGCAAGCAAATTAACACCAGGGAGTAAGTGTGTGCTGTTATTACTGTTATAAGCCCATCTTTGTTAGCAGGCACCATCAGGACTTCTTCTTCTCAACCTCAGCCCTATTTATATTGACACACGGACTGAACAAAAGAAAACAAGCTCGCTGCACACATTCTAGCAACATTTTCCAGCACAGCTGCCCTAATAGACATACGACGGACAAAGAAAACAGTGCTTCGCCTCACAGACTGGATTTCCATGCACTTTGCGTGACACCCAAAGCACCAGTTTGAAGACGGTCTGGATCACGCCTACAACAATGTGTCGTTGTTGAAAGCTAATTGGACTTAGCTCTAATTGCAATTAGAGAAGCTCGGTAAACCTTGGCGAGCAATGAAGCAGTTTGTCTCCCAGCTTGACGTTGGGGGTATGGAGTGAAGCAAGCACATTTTAAGGGCTTTGCAGTGGGAAAATTTCAGAGAGCATTGCCAAAAACAATTCTCCTCAAGTCTGGATAATGTGAGGCAATATAGCTGCGCGGCCAATAGATGGTTATGGATGTCAAAAGCCGCAAGTTTCCAAAAAGAACCAGCAGAGACCAACCTCAAGGCCTTTTGAACCGAGTGAGTGACATCCTGTTGGCTCAGTCGACCACACCGAGAAAGCCACAGAGTGAAAGTTTTGCCTCACAGTTATTGAGAGAGTTCTCTCGTTTTGGTGAGCGTGGAGAGTTTAGATATGTAAATGCGTGATTGTTATTGGTCTTGTCAATTAATGCGGAAGCGGCCGTCGCTCAGTTTGCGGTGGATGAAAACCTGAATTCGAGATTTGACTGCAGAAGTTGAAGAAACTGTATTTTAATTTTTTTGCTTTCTGGACCTCATTGTTCCAGTTTGAAGCAGAACAAAACCATGATGTCAAACATAATAAAGCAGATTAATTACTGCGATCGCACATGCATATCTAAACCACTCTGTTAAAGGCTGTCTGATCTCTTAAATGCAACCCAGGCTCACTGGAGAAACTTGTTCTGCAAATTGATATTGTGTTGCATCTTGCATGTTACTCGCTTTTTCAAATTGATTTGTCCAGTGAGTGGCTCTAAAAACATTGAATTTCTCCGAAACATGAATATAAATCTCGCAATGTTTTATTATGTTAGTTGTTGTA